GGAGTTGACAAAATGCCAAACTACCTCAATTTGTATGATGTTACTCTGAAGGAGGCCATATTGTAGCTCATCAGGTCCATGAAATCTTTACAGTTTACCAAAATTAAGCTTTTATTTTACAAAATTTCATCAAAGTTTTGTAACTTGTCAGTTATGGAGTTGACACATCATGGTTGTGACAAGTAATTTAGGAATAAAACAGAAGAAAAAACTAAAGAATAACATAAGCTAACCAGAGCTAACTAGCCCTCTTAGCAAAGGAAGAGAAAGGAAATGGTCATGGGGTCCTCAGAAGTTCTGGTGCCCCCCAATAATGCCTGAATGTTTTACATTCTTTTCATGTCTGACGGTGTTGACAAAAACTAGGGACAAATTTCAACAGAGTTGGAAAATATCTAAAAATTATTTTTAATTCAATTTATCAATACTTTTATAATTATTTATATTACTACTTATACTTAATTGTCATAATATATAATTTTAGTATTTCTTTAATTGTTTTAAACTATTATAATGTATTGAGTTCTGCTCCAGGACAGAGGCTTTTACAGACACCATCCACCTACTACAAAAAATTTGAAAATGAAAAATATTCAGCAAACACTGTGAAAACATATATTGTTGTGCTGACATTACCTAGGTTAGCTTAGTTAATTATTTGAAGAAATTATATTTTATGTGCATTTGTATTCAAATTCTGTGCTTTACCAGAGAACAGGGTTTTGTCCCTAATCTCAAAAATCATTGCATGTGGATTTCTGTAAACTCTTAACTGAGGCTAATACACTCAAACTTTAGATTTTAATCCGAATCTCTGGGGAAAATCGAGGATGTTTCAGATTAATTAAACTTTTCTATCCTTTATTCTGTACTTAAACTTGTTCTTTACTTTGTTGTTTGTGAGAAAAGAAACCCTAGTGTTGAGGATTTTATATTTTCTTCTATCTCTTCAAATCTCGTTTTAATCTGCTGACACGCACACGCCACAGTTTACATAACCATGTTTATGTATGACTGCCGCCAGTCACACATAAACAGACTGAAACTGATTAGACTACCCTTGGAGGGTACAGATTGCAGAGAAGAATAAAAGCTAAATACGCGCTACAGCCTTTGCCTCACTTGGTGTCATCCGTAAGGTGTGCTAAGTGTATGGCCCAGCGCTGCGACGGTGAATGTCACTATCTGTTCCATTTGATCATTCTTGTCATTAAATCCTGTTATAAACTTCTTCATGGTCGGGACTCGAAACTTGTAAAATCGAACCTCGTTTTTGCACAAAGAACAAAACGGTCGACTCACAACACTAGAGACGTCGTGAAAACCGCAAGTTCGCAATGACCAGCTCAAGGTAACCAGGAACAGATTTAGTGTAGAACACCGAGACTTCTGGTACCTGCAAAGATTCAGTAGTTTGAGAGACTCCACAGCAAACTGGTCAGTACCGAAGAACAGGAGCCTCCAGGACAGCCTTGGTGGTCCTGGTTTACAGGTAGACTGCGTGCGGACACTGGGGCTGGGGCTGAACTTCAGCACATTCAAAACATAGTTGAGAGTTTTCAGTAAAACTCTATCAGTCTTTCTGTCCATCCACATGGTAAAACAGTTTTTTTCCGCACACCATGTATCCAACTTGCCGGTCCTGCTCAGAATCCGTCCTTATTACCCCCGGTCTGAGCAAAGCAGCGCCATGTCTTTTAGAAGGCTCCTTCTTCCTCCTATTCGAGTGGTATATATCCAGATATTATTGTATTATCGCCGCCTACAGGTTGTGACAAGCATGCATATTCTACTAATGTATGAATAAATTCTTGATCATCTGGTTTGCGGACAGTGAAGTTAATTTGCTTAGCCTTCGAGTGAATGAACATTGATTAAGTTTTAAAACGCATCACGCTTTGTGGGTTTGGTGGTTTATTTTTTAAACAGTTCAATCTATATGTCAAGGACCACAAGTCAAGAAATTAAAGCTCTCATAGAATTAAATTAATCCACGATAAACAGAGTTATCATGGATTTACTCAATTACATTTCCTAAAGTAACTTTAAAAAATATTTTAGGAGTACTTTTACTACGCTGTCCTTTTTACTTTTACTTGAATAATTTTATTATGAAGTATTGCTACTTTTACTTGAGTAAGATTTCTGGATTCTATACCAACTGAATGAAAAACAAGCATGTTTTCACCTAAAATTCACCAGACAAAGACACACACCTGAAGTTTTAGTTAACGTTTATTTTTCCAAATAAACTGATTTGGAAAAAAATATTTTTGCCTGATTAGCACCACTGAGATCTAGAATTATAAGACTGAGATATCAAGGCAAAGAAAACTCAGTAGCTGCTGATAGGCCTCAAACATTCAAGGCCCCTATAAATGCCTGAATTGTAACACAGACAATATATATAACACTGTAGCATTCATTTATTGAGAATGACAATGTTATTACACTTTATTTAATGCCTTTCAGCAGAGATAAAATAATTAGAAAGTTTACTTTGTAAAAGTGCAAAGAATCATTGATAGTTTGACCATAGCTACAATTTATCGCTCTCTGTATTCTTTATGTTTGAGCTGGGTTTATTCACAAATACTTCACAGCAAATAACAGTCAATCAGTTATTGATTTTAAGATGGCCAATTAATCTGGAACCTCTCTCACAGACTTCACTACATCCTACCTGTGGAAGTTTTGTTTTGTCAGTTTTATTTTGTCAAAGATTAAGGTAAGCTTTATTTAATTTATTTTATACCTGGCTTTCGTTAAGCTGCTGTATTACTTCAGGTTTTAAGTTTACATCACAGGTAACGTGTAAACATATTTATAAATGACTTTAGTTTGTCATCTACAATGTTGTTACTATAAACTTACTATAAACTTACTATAAACTTACTGTTACTGTAAACAAGAAAGTCATTGCTGGGCTGATGCCAAGCAATGACGCTTGCT